TAGTGCTGCTTTTTCAACCAGCTGCAAGTCCCCACCGCACACTTTGCACACCCAGCTTTTCGCGACGGTACAGGACAGAAGGTCGATGTCGATCAGTGCACAGTTGCAGTCACTAACACTTGCCTTGAGCTCTTCAAAGCATGCTGCCGAGTGCGACAGCTTCGACGAAGACGCACACGTGGTAGCCGCTGCGTCAGTCATCAGAATGCGTTGCGGGGACTCGGCGGCATAAGAAGTTGACCTATGCCGACTACTCTGGAAGTGACGCTTCTAAAATATTTTCTTCGTCTTTCGTCATTTTTAACATTCCAAATCTAGTGTTAAAGTAAACAATAAATTACCTTGCCCGTGGAAGCATGCCGAACCAGAAGCAAAAGTATGCGCGTCGCGACTGACGCCGGCAGTGTCTGAGGATTTATGGGGCTAAAAATGTAAAAGCTAGACAGCTTTTTGATGTTGCTGGACGAGCAATAAACATTCCGCTAAACCTAGTAAAAATCTTCGTTTTTTTACGGTTTTTTTTACAACATAGGAGAGATACAGATCGTGCATAGGTGTAAAAGGGGGCGTGGTCGGTCACCACCTAGGTTTCGGAAAAGGTAATTTTTCCTGTAGATAAATCGCGCACGCTCAAATAACACAGTCAGCATTATTCAGGAAAGACTGGGAAATCCAAATCCCTAAAAAACAAAAACTCAATTTTTTTCAAAATTTTGCCCTACCCTGTTCCCTTAAGCGGTATTTGTGCACAGTACAAAAATTGTTGCACAGCTCCTTTAAAGGTTATAGCCCTTGTAACGGGCAGTAGCTTGCGCCACCTAGCACAAGTCTAAAAAGACAAAAAACATGATTCCTCCCGCCCTTCTAAGACCAATTTTGTCCCCATAACTATCACTAGACAGCGTGGGATATCACCAGGATGACCTTCGGGGGATTGGGCAAAAAAAGACTAAAAACATCTTCATTTGTACAAGCTCAACGTTGCCAACCGGCTTCAAAGAATTTGCTACCTGGCAAAAAAAGAAAAAGAGAAATGAAGCGAAACGCCGCTGGAAGTTTCTTCGGAAGCAGCTCGCGCACTTATACCTGCGCTCTCCGGTGAGTTGGCCTTTGATAACGTGTACTATCTCTCTTTATCTCTTCCTCCGTATCAGTGCCCACGTGACTTTCTCGCTCACACTCTCTCTGTTTTCTTTTCTTTTTCCTTTGGTTTTGCCCACACGATACGTTTTCTTTTTTCTCTCCAAAATTACTCGCGTTTTCTGCGGAACGAGTGAAGAAGAAAATGCCTATATCTGCGAGGAGCGACGTCAAGACTCCACAAAGATAACGCGCCGTTATATAAATATATATATATACACATATAAGAAAGGTCTGAATCGGCTTGATTGCCGGCCACTCTTGTTGCGCACGGAATTCCATCGGAGGAATTCCAAGCCCCCCGAGAAACCGGAAATCCCAACAAAACATCACGAAGTAAAAATAAAAGAAAGAGAAGAAAGACAGATAGACTTTGGGGGGATGAATGCTCACGAGGGTATTTATACCGCTATCATGTTCCGCCTCGGCGTTCATTTGTTCGGCTTATCCGAGCCCGTAGCCATGTTCTGGGCAAACGAGAGAACTAAAAAAAAAAGAAGAAAAAGTTAATATTGAAAGAAAAAGAAATTGTTTTGGAATGGATTACACCTAAAAACATTTAATCTTTCTTCCAAACCTTAACAAAAAAAAAAAAAAAGAACGTTGTTTTAGTTGTTTCTTTTTGTAATGGTTTTCGGTTGTTTTTTGTAATGTACACCTGAAAACATTTGATATTTCTTCCGGGTTTCCAACTTGTTTTACTTCAATTTTGGGTCCGCGTTTTATGGCCTCTCGCTTAAATACGCGTACACACACACACACACACAAAAAAAAAAGCTTTAGTGAAAACAAAAAAAAAAAAACATTTGTATGGAATACATTATTTTCAAAAGTGGGCGCCATCTTGTAGATGTTGCAAAAATTATCAAGTCCGCCGTCAGTTGGGCAGGCACCCTGAGCAAGCATTGAACACGAGGGTTGCGTGAGCGCTCGGCGTGAACTCGGCAAAGCTCGTATCAAGAACGAGTACCTACGTCAGCGCTCGGCGACGGCTCGGACCCAATCACAAGCTTTGTTCCCCGGAAATGGCGACCGCCAGTGTTGCTCGAGGCCTATCGGGCGATCTCAGTTTCGAAACGCAGACGATATATATCCATGTACAGACGGCGTGTATAAACAACGCCCGGAGAAAAAGCGTTTTCAAGCTGCCACGCTTCGAGAGTCTCTAGCCACTATGGGTGGAAAAACCCTCTGCTGAGGCAAACGTATATTCAGTCATGGAGATACGTATATTGTTATTCTTTAGTATCGTGGGTCTATTAGTTGTGTTCACTTTGAGCTGCGCGGACAGCACAAAAGTGGTTGAGAATACACCTTACATATAGACATGAGTGCTCCAGTATCTGTTGCATATACAGAATCCATCATTTTGTTTTGTTGTTTTAGATTTCTATTTGAAGATTGTCTTGTCATACCCTTCCGAGTTCGCAGAAGTAAAACCGGGCCCGGAGAATGTGGTCACAATGATGCTGCGAAACACCTGGCTATACAAGTTATGTAAGTTGTCTCCGGTTCTTCTACGACACGATTAACATCTCCGAGAGACGTATTGCCTGAAGGCGAATTCTTTGGTACGGGTTCGTTTTAGTATGCACTCTCCTACAGACGTAATCTTCGCTGGTGTATACTTTGAGATACGTTCTTTCCGACGTATTTCCTGGTGCGTATTATCTGAAGATGTAGACCTTGGAGACGTTTTTTGTTTTTTTTTATACACATACTTGAGAAACGTATTTTCTGAAGACGCAATCTTTGATATGCAGTCTCTGACAACTCATTCTCTGAGAAGCATTCTCTGAAGACGTATTCTATTACATGCATTCTCTGAAGGCGTACTCTTTGATATGCATTCTCTGAGAGGCGTATTTCAATTGGGGTAACGCATTCCTCTGAGTCGTATCCTCCCAGTGCCGACAGAGGAACTTCTCAAAGCGGCTCCTCCTCCCGTTTCACCCGCGCTAGAATGGCAGACGACATACAAGGAGCAGCAGACGAAATGCGTGCGCGTGTTTTCGAAGGCAGCACACCCAAACGCTCGCCGCCGGCGTGGGCAAGATGCATGCAAGCGCGCGAGCGAGGCGAGCAGGCCCCTGTCGACTTGATTCGGACCGGGCAAGGCGAACGAGGTGAGGTCACTCATGACGTCACCGACGCCGCCGCCGCCACTAGAGAGAGAGAGAAGGAAAGTAAACAAAGCGAGAGGAAGGAGAGGGAGAGAGTCGGGGACGCGGCGGCGGTGATGGTATGGCAACACACCGCGCAACGGCTGAGCAACAGGGCCAAAGTCCGTCATGTCCCGCGTCCGAAACCAGTGCATAGCGCCCGGAATTATGCACGCGTGCGCACAAACGGTTCATAGCTTCTAAACATTCGTACCACAAATACCCCCCAGTCGAGGCCAGAAAGAAAAAAATGGCCTTCTGATTGGTTGTCTCCGTGGCTACTGACCCGTACTCAATCTTAACTGTAAGTTAGAAACAAAGCTACTGCTAGTGTTAAGGCGATGACGGTGCTGTTGTTGAGAATAAGTTAGTCTAGATCGCTAAATCTGTGCACGTTTCGACGTAATTTGGAGAAGTAGCTCCGATGGAACAAAGAGCTTCGAAGGCAGAAACTCTTGTACAAAAATATCGATCGAAAATAACACAAAATTCGGAACACGCGAAAAATGATTCTATTTTCGACAAATGGGGGAGGGGAAAAGGAGGGGGGTTATTTTTTACTGCATGTAAATAATTTTGTCCCGATTTTCGTATACGAGAAATACTTCCGTCTGACTCGTTTTCTCCGAATTTCTCCTCTTGCCGAAAGTATACTTTGTGCAATGTGTTTAAAGTATACCCATACGAACTATACGCCAACTTGGGCAATGTGCTCAAAGTATACCTATACAAGCTATATGACAAACTCGCTTTATTTTTTTACATCGTTTTCTGTGATCTTTAAAGTCGCGAATTCGCGCGCGGAGTCCTGGGCAAAATGCCAAGGTACGACGCGCCAAGCCCCACAGTATTTGCGCATCGACACCCTTGGCATTCTGTCTCGGACGTCAGGTGGGTGAATACGCTGTCTGGCGGCGCCAGGTCGAACTGGGCCTAAACTGCAGGAAGCGCAAAGTATCCAGGTATAAACAGGTGTTCTTAATTCTATTGTGTGGATGAATAACGAGGCATGCGTGTAATATACCTTTTCGTTTCGTTTTTGCCGAAAGTTCGCCAGCAGGTGACAATGAATGAAATTAGTTTGAAGCGAATAATATAAAGTGAGTAACTTTGCAACGCCGGACCTATCCCATGCGGTTATCGAGACCGCCAGGAATGCGGAAAATGTCATACGAAGGGTTGTTATTGAAGGCGGCTATTTTCCCAGTTCGCGACAGGCCAACGGACCGGGGGGGATTCCTCGTGCCTCCGAACAATGGTTTTATCTCGTCGTCGAGGTTAACTACACAATAATATTAAACAATGCAGTGCTATAAGACGTCACACATAGGGATGGAAAAAAAGAAAGGGGGGGAGGGGCGTTCGAGCACAGAAAGAAACTAAAACAAAGTAAAATGGTGCTTGATTCAACGTTTTTAGCTCCAGGACGCGACTCTTCAGCGACAACTCGATCCAGGATCCGCAAACTAATAACGCGCACTAGCTTCGTCATTTCCGGCATAAATTGCCGAAAAGAATTCTGCCTCGAATGCTGATCCAATCGCGTATCGAGAAAGCAGACGACATTGGGCATTCGTAGAGTCGACTCTTTTCAAATCGAAACCAACAGCGACAGTTCCGTGGACTTCGATCGCTTTTAAGCAAAACGGGAAACAAGCATAAAGTCGTCTGAATAGAGGTTCAACAAAAAGATCTCACCGTGACAAGTGCCTTCCTCGTGATCGTCGGCGAGGCGGCCGACGCCGAGATCGGCGATGCATTCCAAGGGAGCTTTGCAAACACCCAGCTTACGACTCCCGCCGCACGGTAGCCCGACTTCCTCGCGGACACAGTTGCGACAACATCCGCATTCGTCTACCGTCCACTCGGAACTACACTTCCCCACGAGAGCAGCTTCGCTCGAGCACTCCTTGGCCGCGTCGCACTCACTCTCCGGCGGACACTGCAGCCCCGTCGTCCTGCCGCAGACGAGGACGACGACGGAGAACAACACGACCGCGCCGCCGAACGCCTTCATCGTGGGACCAAACTACCGTGCGTTGTCACTCGGGAGCCGACGACGCGACGACGGCAGCATCGAAGCACCCTTCTATTGTTTTGTCCGGAGTCGTCCGCCGAGGTCGAAGTCTCGGACGAGCAGAGACGACGCGAAGACGGCGACGACGGCGAGTGATGCGCCGAAGCCCCGACAGGTGTGCAGCCGCTCGTACTTGGCGGCGTTCCGCCGCTTTTCAGGGCTGGCTCGGTCGCGGGCCCGTTCTCCTTGGACGTACGGAACGTCGGTTATCCTCGGTCGCTGGGATCGGAAGATTGCGACGATCTCCCCGATGTGATCGTAAAGCTGCGACGTCAAAACTTGTCCGTTCAGACGTGATCGGCGACGACCGCCGGTTCGAACGCGTTGACGCGCCGCTGACGACTCGGTAGCAGACGACGCGCAACGGACTGCCGCGCTGAGTACGCGGTCCGTCCTCGTTTGTGGATATGCCGCTTATGCCGCTTCTGCCAGCGCGCAGGGCGATCGGCGTGTGGTGTGGAAGTTCTCCGCAGGAGCGCGGCGGCGCTCGATTCGCTTGCGCGCTCCGCGCACGGGCGCACGGCGGCATCACTTCGTTTACCGAGCGTTTTCTTTTGTTTTACGTCATCGGTAGCATTATCCCGACCTGCTCCAAGCGGTAAGCAGGCAGGACCTCGACGAGGGTACGTTATAGTACGTTGCAAAGGTTGCAGTCACGCGTATTGCCGCCCCACGCTAGCATGTGTGAAACCTAGCAACCGCGTCTGAGACGCGGGCGCGCAGACGCGAACGCGCGCTAGGTCGCGCTGCGACGCAACACTCACCATGACGTAAAAAGTGTAGGCCAGGCCTTTTTTAATAGGTAGTGTTTTGTTCGGTCCGCCGCGGCCGCAGGAGATTTTTGCTTTTCGCTTTTCGTGTTTGCATCTTTCGCACTTGTCGTTCTCTCGCTCCAACGCTTTGGCGTTTTGCTTTAATACCGTTCCCTTCCCCCTTCGCGCTTTGAATTTGTTTTTTTTTAGTTTTTCGTGCGTGCGTTTTTTTTTGTTTTTTTTTTTTATTTTGCCTGCAGTGTTGCGGTGTTCCTTTCGAGAGGCGTTTTATTGACATTCTCACGCGCTGACGCTCCCAGATTTACTCGTATTTTTGTTTGGCGCAAAGCTGTTCCTCTTCCACCTTTTTTTCTTCCTTTTTTCTTTTCCCTGCTTTCCGTATTTGAGTTTTGAATTTGCTTGTTTTATTTCTTGATTTTGAATAGAGTGCCCGTCCTTCTCTCGCCGCGTAAACGAGCGCGGACTCGGAGCGTGTAAATGGGTGCCGCCATGATGATGTGTAGCCACTCGCGCCCCCCCCTGGTGGGCGTACGGGGCAGGAACGAGGCGGGCGTTCCCCCACTTTCTCCCTGTTTTCGTCATTCACTTTCTGGCGTGGTCGTTACAATTCTCTGTTTTTTTTTTTCTCTTTTCCATACATATAACTATGCCATTAATAATAATAATAATAATAATAGTAATAATAATCACGGCTGTAGGGTCAGCTACGCCCGTGGGTCAACTTTGCTCGATGTTTTGCTAGTATGGGCTTCATTACAACGACAAACAAAAACTAAAAAAAAAAAGCGTATGACGGGCGGGGAGCGAAGAGAGGATCTCCTGCCTACATTCTCCTTCTATTTACGCGTGGTGGTTTTTGTGTGTGCGCCATTCTTAACGACCAATAAAGCAAGCGTGGGCGAAAGGTGCGTGCTGACGGGGTGAGATAATTGCAGGTGTCAAAATGAATGCACGCACGCACCCCCGTCTATTTCAGGCGTATACGCGCTCTTCTCTACGCGCTGCAGACAGCGGAAATAGTTTTTTTTTTTCTTTTCGCTTTGCTCGCGTCTAAGTTTTGAAATCTGCACGACGTAGCGTTGTGAAAACCAGTGTACGGTCAGCAAATGTGGGCAAATACGTCGGATACACCTACGCAAACTTTCAGTAATTACTTCTTTTTTTTTTTTGAAATATTGGGGTATATTGTTTCACTGCCGAGCGTCCAAAGATCTTTTGAATTGGCGTTTTTCTTTTCTTCCTTTTTTTCTTTTTTCTTTGCTGGTCAGGAATAGTAAGTTTTCCCCGACTTATATTATTTTCATTAATGAATACGTGCCTCAGACGATTAATTACTGCTGAAACATACCGAGCTCCACCTTCGATAATTACAGGCGATTGAGGAAAAGCCCGTACCGTCAACATCTCGAAAGATAGTCCTCCTGTTTTTCCTCTCTGGCGGTTTTTCGTCCCGAAACAAGCCCGATATTCGGTAGCAAATACTTTTACGTGATTTTGGGGGATCTAGATATATATGCGTTGCGTTTCGTAATATTCTACTAGGATTGCTACGGAACATTAAAATATTTCGGAATGGGAAGTCTCCCTGATACGACCTCCAAGATTTGTTGCTGTTGAAATTTCTCTCAACATTGATAACTTTTCTCAATTGAAAATATGTATGAGCACACTTTACTTGGGAGGCTTATACACTCCGTGCGACGCGACTGGCGCGCCGCCGCGCGGCCGGTACCGAAGGTAGGCAGCGAGAACCCCAGAGAAAACGAAACCGAAACCACGCCGCGTACGTTGGTACGCATTGAAGTCGGAGTGGTGCGGTTGCGCTGGGTTCACGGCATGAAGTGCTGCCTTTGCTGCGTCATTAAGTGCTTCAATAGTTATGCGTCGTATCTCGTGGAGACAAAGTTTCACAGTTTTTTACCTCGCCGATGTTTTGTGGGACAGCGACAACGATGGAGCCGTGCCGTACGACGTGAGAAATTTGGTCTCCCGATCATGTCTGCCACTGTGTCGGTACGGCTGACATATTCTACACTGCCGCTTTGCGCTCTGCGTTTGTTTTCGTACCAGTAACGCCTACATGTGTCAGCGCCGATGGGACGAACCCACACTCGCAGGTATGCAGTGCCAATTTCGTTGGAAAAATGCCCTCCAAAGAAGTTTCGTCCCCATCGTACGTGTCGATGATATTTCCAGACAAGTATGGCACGCAATCTGTACTTCATGAAAAAAGATTCGAAAGGTAAAAAAAGTGACAAATATAAATCTAAAGAAAACAACAATGAAACTCGGAATCACTGGAGAATCGACGTTTGAGTATTGAGGTTTATGTGGTGTGCTTTCTTTCTTGACCAGCCTCCTTTTGGATGTGGAAACGCTGACACTCCGAGTTCTGTAGACAGCATTTTTTTTTCTCGGCTTTTGAGCCACCTATCGCAAAGTGGTTCGAACTGGAAGTACCGTCCACTGGTCCCTTCCTACCTGTAAAGTGTGCACCTCCCACGATGAGTGGTATTATCTGACAGCCTTTGACGGTCAAAGCCAGTTCCCATTTAGTTACGCCGCCCAAACTAAATTTCCACCTGGTTTCGCTATGCCAACTAACTCTTTTTGTTATAATAAGTGTTGTGCCAAGTGACGGTCATGTCAAAGTACCTGTGCGCCGAAAATCAGCACCTCGCACAACAGGTTATTACACAACAGCTGACCGCAAAAGCCCTTGGCGGCCAAACCGTGTGTTGGCCGACAACTTTGTTTTCTCGGCTTTGGAACCACCTTTCGTAAAGTTGTTTCAATTGGAAGTACAGTCCACTAGGCCCTTCCTACTGTTACGATTCCGGGCCGAGCATGCTCCCACTTCCAAGCGTCGTGGACTTCGAAGATACTGAGGAGCGATCACTGAGAGGAGAAGACGTTTATATACAGGAATATTTACATCGTCATCTTTCAGCTTTGGCGTCTGAGAAGGGAAGACCCTTGACGAGTCCGAGCGCCGGCTAATGTAGCCTCCTTGAAGTGGCGAGGGGGTCCCTGTCCAAGGTCCCGCGAGGGGAAAGGGCACTTTCGTCACCACGGGACGTCTCTGCAGGTCTCCCGGGACGCGGACCTCCCACGTGGTCACACCCCGGTCCAAGCATCCCTCTCGTCCCGTCTCCCAGAAGATCGCGGGAACAGGCAGCTCTCCCGATCACACGCCGAGACCCAAACGTCTCCACTTGTCTACGTCGTTCATTAGGGCTTGCGGCCAACACATCCATCGTGCCATTACATCCATCGAGCGATTACGTCCAATTTCGTGCCATTACATCCATCGTGCCCGTACATCCATACTGCCAGCACATCCATCGTGCCATTACATCCATTTCTGGCCAGTTCATCCAACGTGCCATTACATACATCATGCCGCTACATCCATCGTGCCATTTCATCCGCCGCGCCATCACATCCATCGAGCAACTTCGTCCAAAAGCGTGTCATTACATCCATTGTGCCGTTACATCCATCGTGTAATCACATCCATCCAGCAGCTTCGTTCAAAAACGTGCCATTACATCCATCAATCACGTAGGTTTATTTCTTCGTTTAAGCATGCTGTATAATAGTTCACATTCTTTGGAAAGTTACACGCTAAATTGACCGTACAAACGCGAGTACAAGGACCCTTTGTGCGTCATGCACTTTCTGCGGCCCTCGGCGTTTCCAAAGTCGAACACGCATCGTCGGCGCATTGTTTATTGTTTCCACATTGATCAAACATTGGTTACTGCTTTTTCAGAAACAAAATTAACTAAATATAAACTTTATATAGAATTAGAACGGTACACAGAATCGCACCTTTTATTTCGATTTGAGAAAAAAAATCTGAATGTCTTATAGAATTAAATTGTGATATGCTAACGTTCTGGGAATTATCGTTTGTTCTCTGCATGTGGAACCCGAACCAATGCAGAGAGCAACTCGTACGCTTCTTGAGTAGGTGTTGCGGTGACATCAGAACGACGCCGAACTTTGATTGGCTCTAAATGGAGGATAGTGGGTACCTTAAATCAAGCTGCCTTGAGGTATGTCCACTATCCTTCATTCAGAACCACTCAGAGCTCGGCGTTCTGACCTCACCACAACCCCTGCAAAAGGACGAACTTGCATTCCACATAAGAATGTGAATAACGTAAACAGCCCAGTGGCGGCCATCTTGGCTTCTATGGATGCGCTAGAACGATGGATGTAATGGCACGCTATGACGTCGTAACAGGAAGGATGAGCAATTACATCCATCGAGCAACTACGTCCATCGAGCAACTACATCCAACGAGCAACTACATCCATCGAGCAGCTACATCCATACACATGTCAACGCATCCAACGAGCTAGTATATCCACCGTGTCATTACATCCATCGATGGATGTAATGGCTCGGTGGATGTACTGGCTCGATGGATGTGTTAACACGTAATCGTTCATTAGCACCCGGTCCGAAGGCCGAGGAAGCGGGCCCCCGTTTCTCAGCGGGGTGTCAGGGGGGTCAGCTCCCGCTGTGCCGGGTGGCCCGCTCGGTGTCGCCCGGAAGCCGCACCCCACCCACGCCGCGTCGGTCGGCATGTTCGGCGGCGCCAGAATGCCGAGCCCGAGTCTCTGGTCACTCGATGGGTGGTCGATGGCGCTGCCAGGAAGCCGAACCTGCCCTCTGGGTGGCCGATCATAACACTACCTCTAAAGTCTCCACCTCCCCCGACTAGTGGTATTCCCTTGACA